CCATCTCGCTTAATCGTCCTGTACTTTAAAAACGATAAGCCTGCTAGTCTCACAGCATTATTCAACCGAGCTGCATCGATGCGGCTTCGATCAAGTCATCCTTTCTGAGCATGTCCTCGAAATCCATGCGACCTCTAGCATCCCCTTTGAACGCATTGCCATTCATTGGAAATCCGACCGATTTGGAATGTGCAGTCCTGTCCTTGACTGCCGTGTCGCAAACCTTCGAAAGGCTAAAGCTCCGTCGGCCTCCATATCATCTCCGCGGCGGGATGGTCTGGAAGTGGCTCTCGCTGGCCTGCTGTTCCATACAAGTTCTCTCTATACGTTCCACCAGGCACGCAATATCCGTCCCAGAATAGACCTCGCTTCCGCAGTTCTGGAATCAGCAGCTCGATCACATCTTCAAACGTCTGAGGCATAAGCGCGTACGCCTGGAGAAATCAGTCAGTAAGAGAGGGACCATACGCTGAGATCCCCATCAGACTCACGATATTGAACCCATCAACATCTCCATCTCGCACCCAACGCTCCATCTCATCAGCAACCTTCTCCGGCGTCCCAACACAAGTCGCGCCATATCCCCCAACCATGATATGCTCAGCAAGAGTCTTCTTCGTCCACTTCCCCCCATTAACATCCGGAGCAGTCTTCAAAAGCCCTTCGATAGAAGACCGTATCGCATTACTCTCAACATACCTCAACTCCTCATCATCCCCATACGGAGCCATATCAACCCCCGTCCACCCCCCAAACAACGCCAAAGCCCCTTCATAGCTCCCATACTGCATATAATCCCGATACTTCGCCTCAGCCTCCTCCTGCGTCCTCCCCAGCACGGGACAAAACTTCGCCAACACCTTCAGATTCCTCGAATCCCTTCCTCTCCTCTCCGCCTCAGCGCGTATCCCCTTGACCGAATCCACCACACTACCCGGACTGTGCGCCGACACGAAAATCACCTCAGCATGCCGCGCCGCAAATTTCCTCCCCGCGCGACTCGTCCCCGCCTGCATAATCACCGGCGTCCTCTGCGGCGAAGGCGCACAAAAATGCGGTCCGGGAACGTTGAAAAACTTCCCTTCATGACCAATCTCCCGGACAAGTGTCGGATCCGTATACACCCCTGCTTTTTCCCTCTCGAGTTTCACCGCATCACTCCTCCAACTGGAATTCCACAATTTATACACAACTTCCACAAACTCTTCGGCAATTTCATACCTCTCATCGTGACCCTTCTGATCCCCATTCGAAAGATTCCTCGCCGCGGAATCCAAATATCCCGTGACGATGTTCCACCCTACACGTCCGTTTGTCAAGTGATCAACCGTCGACAATCTTCGTGCTAAATGGATAGGGTTGTTCATAACTCGTAGATATCGTGACGCCGAATCCTATCGAAGACGTCACGGCGGCCATGGCGGGGACTATACTCAAAGGTTCGTGTGACAGGCCATTGTGCACCGCTTCTGATTGCGGGGGCCAGATTTCTGGGTCCCCCGTACACGTCGTAGGCACCCAGCACGTCGGCGATGAAGATTCCTTGGAAGTTTCCGCGTTCGAGCAGTTGGGCGAGTGAGGTCCAGTGGGAGAGGGTGTTGAAATTTGAGGATTTGTCGGATGGGTGACGCCAGAGGCCCGGGGATTGGTGGCGGAACACATTTCTACGAAGGCGTTGAGGATGAGATGCTTCTTGGGTTTGGGGGAGGAGGGGTTTGGAAGAAGATGAGTGCTCTCGACAGGCTGCGGGATTGCGGTCGATCGTCCGAGTTCTGTGCTTTGTGCTTGCTTCATGCCAGAATTCGTTGCATGCAATCCGTTCGTTTTTTTCTCGTCATTCTGATCAGATGTTTCTGTTGTTGGAGGCGTGCCAAGCTCTGTCCTTTGGGCTTGTCTGCGATTATTCACTCCATTCATCGAATAATCTGCAGATTGACCGATCTTGCCAGCGGACTCGGCTTTCACCCATTTCCGTCCCAATTCCGTCCATTGGGCTTGCTTCGCTTTACCGCCAACATCTCGTTCGGCGACGGCGAAGGCGACGCTGTTCTGTGCCTGGTGATCAGCATGATGGGAAGTTGGAGTTGTTGGAACGCCGTTCGGGAATGATTGACTAGATTTGTTCCGAAGCTCGTCTTGTTGTGTTTGGTTTACGTCGTTCTGTGCAGCGTCAATGTGGCGATGGATATCTCTTGGCGTGCTGGCTGCGCGTGGTGAGTGAAGTCCGTTTGGGACAGCTTTGCCATTCACGACTACCATCTTCTCTACCCAATGCCTCTGATTGTTACTGAGTCTCGCTTGTCCTGGCTGCGAGAAGACGTTTGGGAAATCATGTTGTCCTTGGCCGATGTAGGATGTCAAGTTCTCGGCAGAAGTTCCGGCCGAAGTGGAAGTGGAGAAGTTGCAGATGGCGTGCTCTTCTTGCTTTCGAACATCATCACAACGCCTACTGGAACGTCGCTCACATGTCACGGATTGTCGGCGAGTGAATAATCAGTCTGGGAGACTTGCAAGTGATGAGGTAGCCGCATTGGTACGCCGTACCGGTTCGCAGCCTCCGAGATGTCCGCCGCCGAATCCGTCACCGAAGATTAGCTACGACTTCTTCCATACAATGCTTTGAGCCATTGAGGTCCTCCTCACGATGCCTTCCCTCGCATACCAACAGTCCGTGCTGGGATCAACGTAGTCGACGACACCATCGAAAACACCAATACTCGGCACAGCTCACCCGTGTCAATCTCAAGCATCCTTGCCGTCTGCAAGTATCCACGAAAATGCGTCAGGACGAATCGCTGTCAAAAGATCTCGAAGCGTCCCGAGCATTGGACGCGGGTCACCACAATACGCATTCGAATCAAGAGCATGGACGTTGAGCTCATCACACATTTTGGCGCTCAAGTTGTCGCCTGAGGTTATACCCAAGATGCAGATGAGTCGGCCTTCGGGATCTGTTTTCAGGGACGAGTGACACAATGCAGAGCGACTGTCATCCACTCCCGACAAGGCGATACATCAAGGGAGGCGAAGCGCTCAGGCTTCAGCTCGTGCTTGCTGCTCTGGCCTACGGTTCTGTAGGGTTGTGCCAGCTCGGAAAGACTCACGTAGTCCTGAAGCAAGTCTGGACTTCATTGAGTCAGCCCTGAAAATACACTGCAAGGATAACGCGATGGGTGATCACCTTGGCGTTCGAATACTCGACAGGTGCGGACTGCATTCTGTGGCGACAGTGGACTTGGCTCGATCGTGTCCTGATTCTTCAATCCAGCTGCCGGTGAGAAATGTCTTGAGTCAGCCCTGGCAAGACCATCTCTTGCCAGTAATTACTTAACCCTCTGCGCTGTGCGTTGTTTAATCTGTGAAAATTGTAGATGCAGCTGTTGTGGTAAACCGTTGATCATCGATAAGCACGGATCTTTGGAAGATGAAGATCAAGTCAGTATCCGAGACGATATGGAAGTGAATAACCTTTCACGGGAAGAAGTCCTCCAGCACAACAACAGGATCAAGTCAAGTTCTTCTGATTCTGGTTGCGGCTTTGATGGAACAGCGTCATCTTCTGTCTACTTCCAGGAAAGAGACTGATCTGGAGACCGCGCTCATAATTGTCTGGTAACCATTTTGCAAGACCAACAGTCCGAATGCTCTGCCTGGCTCCGCAGTCCATCGTATCCTTGAACCTTTCCACAAGGCCATATTCAACTGAAAATACGTCAATGCAGCTTCACTCACATCATTACGACGCTTTACCAAACCTCTACGATTGGGACGTTCCAGGAAGTCGTGAAGCGAACGTATTCCCCTCTTTCGGTTCATCTACAGGCGTAGAGCTAGCGATGTTCCCTGGCCCGAGTTCTCTCTAGATTTCTCGTAAGGTTCAGGGGCCAATTCTGCGGCCTCATTCATCCGGCACCATATTTGCAGTCGAACAAGCGTTATGCTTTATTGCAAGCCAATGGTCTAAATCAATCTTTGTTGTTATTTAGGTTGATCCACGTGGCGAATGAGATGCACATGGTTAGACAAAGAGCCCTCCATGGCCAGACCTGTTCTTTGTCGAGATATGCTTCGACAATAGACCGTACACGATACTTGTAAGTAGACGTACAGTACCTTATACTGGTCACTCCAGTTCTCAGTAGATCCAGCTTCTTTCCAGCTTCTCGTTATTTCTCTACTTGCATTTCGGCTACAGACACTCTTTTTTATATATACACCACACTCGTTACATATACCTATCATGTATACCACAGGGCTGGCCCTTTCCGTTCTGACCCTGCTGACTTCAGCAGTAACTGCAGCTCCACAAGATGCCACCGTCACACACGGTACACTCGAAGCAAGAGGCCCCAACAACTTCAAGATCCACGTCTGGAACAACTGCCCCTTCCAAAAACAAGTCGCCCTGTATCAGATCACCGGAGACTTCAAAATGAAGCAAATGTCCAAGCCCACTAACATTGCCTCCAAGAAATCACTGACGATCCCAGCTCCATTCAAAGCTCTCGGTATGCGCTTAAGCGGTCACGCCGAATGGGGCACCGCTGCGCAATGGAAGCATCAAGCTCTGTTCGAATTCGGGTACTCCGAGTACAAGGGCAGAAGGGGCACGGCGTACAACCTCTCCGTGATGCAAGGCAGCGATAAGGATGTTGGTATTGGCGCATATCCCGTCCCGAATGGCAGAGGCTCAAAGCAATGTCCGAGCAAGACGTGCTTCCCTTGGAATTGTCCTCTTAATCAGGGCTGGACCAATCCTGATCAGGTCAAGAATGGTAGTCCTGCGGACACCGTTTGTTATCATGGCAAGACTGATTTCAAGGTCGTATTCTGCCCCTGATTGAATATCTTGTGTGCTTTGAAAAGCACTTGTCGCCTTTTTCATTCTACTCAGGTTGGCTAGCACAACCGTATCTGATCTTTCAGAGCGAAATCCATCATTCTTGGTGAGTGGCAGGCATATTGAATCAAAATTTCCTGCACATAATCAGTAGTCGTAATCTCATGACTATCTCAATTCACGAGTGTAGCCCTTCCGTTCATTTCCATGTGACCTGCCAGCCTTGCTGTAGTCGGAATCGCTGAGTGACTTCGCCATGATTGGACGCCATGCCATGGCTTCACCGGTCGTGTCTCCGCCTCAGCTGAACAGGCAAGACAGCAAGATACCAACTTGATGTAAACTGTGTTGTATTCAGAAGAGGGCTAATCTACAGGAAGCCCAAAGATGAAGTGCGCAGTTTCAGCCTCAGGCATTATGTACGTGATACCATACACACTACACACTTCAAGTCACCCCCTTATCGCGTATATACAGCCAAACAAGCAAAGCAAACAAAGGGGTATTAGGTGTAGAAACAACTAGACTACTCTTAGGCTATTATAACAAAGCAATTAAACAAACAATAGACAAGTAGTTAAACTAGATAATATATATTCTATCTATTTAGTACTTAGTAGCAGGCTAAGCGGCGCTCTTAATAGCAGCCTTATAGTCTACTAAGTTCAACTGCTTAACAAAGCGACTATGCTTAATCTTAAGCCGGATTTAGGCGCGACTCGGCGACTAAGTCGCTATACTCGCGACTTAGGCACCTACTACTACCCCTTTATATACGCGACGAAAACTGCAGCTATTATAGTCTCCGTATATAATATAGACATCTATATACTACGAGTACGACAACCTATCCGATCGTATTTAAATATGCCCTATATATATATACTCCGAGATTAATATTCTATTAGAGGGATTTCTCGTAGCCTTAGATTGTCGCCTACAATATACTAGGAGTTTTACGCTAGCGTTAAGCGATTAATACAAGAATCCGGCTAGATTAGTAGCACATTCCGATTACTATTACTACTAGAACGCCGAAGGATATAGAGCCGGCTATACGACATAGTACTAGCAGATAGCAAGTACGAGGAGGAGTTTCCGGATATAGTAAAGCATATCCGAACGGTAGAGGGACAAGCGGCATTTAGATGTTTAGTATACAAGATATGCTCTAACTACTACCGACGGATAAAGCGGAAGATAGTATAAGTAATAGCCTACGGAGAAAGCGACTCGAGCGACAGTACTAGTTTAGCGATATCTATAAATGCCTCGCTAGAAAGCGCAGACGGATAGACGGTAGCTCTAACGTACCGCGTGTTAGATAGTACGTAGTATAGCATAGTTACGGTTTAAGAGTATAGTAGGAGGTTGAAACTTATATATCGGTTATATAATAATATAAGCTAGACTATCGCTAGCTAGCGATTAGAGGCTACCCTTTAGTAGGAGTCGATAACATAGACTTTAATCGATTAATTAATATAATAAAGGCAGATTGTACGTTTGTCCCTAGTATCGACACTCTATATTAGATAAGCGACGAATATAGACAAATTCGTATCGACAACGAGCGATAGTAGAGGGCTAGACTATCGGATACTTTAAGGAGAGGCCTGTTACTGCGACTTGCAATTCGAAGGGAAAACAAAGGGCTAATAGACATAGGATAGTACGAACCGATATCTTAAAAAGCAAAGGGTATTACTATACCTAATATACAATCCTACTAGTACGGTAATCGTCCGTAATCTAGTATCTACTCGCGCTATGTAGCATTCTAAGAATAATGCTAATATATACATAATAACTAGATAGACGACAGAAAGCAAACTCTATAAAACAGTACTAAGCTCGCCGGTCGTCGTATTATAAAGAGCTACCGATAATTAGAGTTAGCTAGTATGCTACCGAACTAGCCGGATATTTAATATACTACATTGTAATAGCTATATAAGACATAGTATCTTATAGTAGGCAATAGTCGGTGTTCGTCGGGTAGAGTAGCTATAGTACTATAATAGATAAATGCACGCGATTACTACTCCGTAACTTAGCTGCCGACTCGAATGCGAATTAGGAGCATACTAACTAATATAGCTAGTAGACAATATTTACGCTTTGTTAGCACAGGTAGGGGAAGGCAATAATAGAGAAGCTAATAGGCGACGGCTACTAGTAATAGATCGGGCGATAGTATAGTCGAATTACAAACTAACGTGCCCCTTTTTATAGCATAGACAGGCAAGACTACGTATATAGTCCGCTATATGCCGCGTTTTACATATAACAACATTACTGCTAACTAGGGCATATAACGATAAGCAGCAAGCGATATAAGGATAACGAATATAAGGATAATTTACCGTCCGTTACTAATTCCGATAGTACGAGTAATAAAGACGAAGTCGATATAGGAGGCTAATAGTACGTTAGTAACGATATTAGCGCGAAATTTTTAAAGGTATTATATTGACTTAGATATCTACAGATAGTTAACATTAGTAGCCTATACGTAAGGATAACTAGGGCAACAAACTTAAGAGAAAGCGGAGCTAGGACGATAAAGGACGAGTAAACTACGCGAAGCGGCTAAAACGCGACGCGAGACATAACAAACACTCTAGCAAAACATCTACGAGGAACAAAACGTTCTAGCCTCCCGCGAATTTAAAGTTGTTATACAAAGAGACGCGTCGTAAGCTTATCGTAATTACGCTTACCGGCATACGAGGATGCTCGTCGATGTTTCCTACTATTATAGAACCTAATTAGGTAGAACGTAGAACTAGGGAAGCATATGCTAGTAATTACAGCCGACTAGTAGCTTCTAGTACAATGCAGCCTATAGCCGAAGGCGATAGAGCATTATCGGGCATAATTAAAGGAGTTAGTATATAATCTACCGCGCCGATATAAATGCTAATGTTTATATAGATACGAGAGACCCTACGAAAGGAACGTAGATATATAAATAGCTATATCCGGACATTTCTAGAGCGGAACGCGCTAATCGAGCTGTTAAACGAGAAGTAGCGGATTAAATACGTAGAAGATTAGCTCGTAAACTAGAAGTTCGAATGCCGAGGTAGAAACCTAGTAAGTCTGCTCTTATATAGAATCGACGATCGATTACTAATTATTGCGATATACCGCGCGTTACCTAAGCAACTACATTTATTAATATATAGCCGAAGTATTAAATCGATAGATACGCGTTAGGAAGACACTATATATCCGTCCGTATATCGAGCAAGTAAATGCTTTTATAATATGCTATACTATAACGGTTATAGGTGCGATATTAAAGGGCTAGTCGGCTAAAATCCTAAAGTTTAGGACTACTAGCGTCCCGAGCTAGCCGCAGCTAGAGCATACGACGATAGAACGAGCCTTCTAAGAGCGATAGAGGGAATAGAAAGAAGCAAAGCTAGAAGTATAAGCACTTCGACTAGAGAAAGCGCAGTAGCTCTTCGAGAAATATATAGCGAGGAAGGTAGAAGGACCCGAACTATTAGACTCTAACTTCGTATCTAAGCGAGACGACATAGAGGCACTAGCTTAAATCGGCGTTCTAGCCGACTCTAATAATAACGACAATAACGTTCGGCGTCGAAGTATATTGCCTATTATGCTTTAGATATAACTATTAGCTAATATAGTTAATAGGCTAGCTAACGCTATATAGACAGCCGGATTAGACAAGACTAAATACGAGCTCTAGGCCAAACGATAGTAGTAGAAACACGGATCTACTATTGTTTAGGGATAACGGTAGAATGCCTATACCCGAAGGCAGCTTTTAAGCAACTAATGCTAAAGCGATAGAAGATAACAATACGCTCGATAAGAAGGCGGATAGTAGGTACGTTTTAGGACGAGACAGTCTATACTAAATAGTTACTAACAACCGTAACAGTATTAGATTTAGCGACTAGTCTAATATAATAGTATAAACGTCGTTCGAGGAAATACGTATCCGCATTACTAAAATACTTGCACCTAAGGAGGGTTAATAGTTATAGTAGGCGGATATAACAACGAAGAACAAGTTAGTAGAGAAGGTATTTAGTAAGAAGACTTAGGAGGAGACATTTAGGGAGCGCATATTAAAGGATAAGAAGGCGAAAGGAAACAAAAACTCTATATAGGTATACCGACATCGTATATCTAACGATATAAAGTAGCGTCTATTGCAATCGTAATTTAGTAAACAAACCGGAGCGTAAATGTAGTATAAATCTAGGGCGACTCGGTTACCGACTTAGGCTATCGCTATTTAGATCTTATAGTATAATTAAATAATATCGAGAACATAGATCTTTTAAAGTGTATAAGGTGTTTAGCTATAAGCGTAGTACCGGTCCTTTGCAATGTTTAGCCCTATATAGATAATACGAAGATACTAAGTCGTATCGCGAGTAAGGGCTAACTAGGAGTATACAATAACTAGTACAAAGTAAACACAACAATAATAGCAGTTTAAACGGTAAACGAGTAGTATATAGGATTGCCGGATCGCAAGCTATTTCTAGGTAACATATATAAGTACAATAGAACATGTTTATAGGAATAGGTAGATTTGCTAGTAATATTAGAGGCCGTTAATCCTATCGCGATAGGATCGTAATCGTATCGTAGACGTATAGTAGAGGTTAATCGGGCTAATCGAGCTAATCGAGCTAATCGAGCTAATCCTATTAACCTCGATTAGTACCGATTAGCTCGATTAACGCAAATAGTTTCCGTAACGATCTACGCGAAGGTTTAAGCGTTAGGCGAGCTCCTCGTCTCCTAAATAGTTATTATTAGAATACTTATAGGACTAGAGACTCGATAGACTAGAGAGACTAGATAAACTAGACTAACGACTATAGGAGCGATTAGATACAAGTCTAGCTACAGTAGTCGAAGAAGATTCTACTACAGGTATAGAACGGCTTGCTACGGAAGAATAGAGTATCGTAGATATGCGCGATAGGTCTACTACTACGACCTAGCGAGTAACGCGGCGTATGCGATATAGCAACGACATGTTTATACCTAATTTCGTACCTATAGAACTTTACGAAAAGAATAGAGGTATAGAGGAAGGCCTTTCTACTACGTATAAAGGTTTTTACTATAGGAAATCGTCGTATTATTAGTAAAACGGAAAAAAATATAATCTCTTATATAAATGTTATATATAGAGTACCTAAAACCCGATAGAACTAGCCTAGACGAGAATAGCGATTCCTGTATTCTCTACGCTAATTAGTAGATAGGATTCCTTAGCTCTATAGAGTTTTTATCTAATCCCGTAGCAGCTTAGATATAGTACGTAAAGTAGACTATCGTCTACTATAAAAGTAAAATTAGGAACTCTATACCTTAGGAACTACTATTAGAATACTAGAAAATACTAGAATCACCTAATTCTCGTCTAGTCTCGAGATAGGCTAGACCTAGAAGGTAGCTCGAAGGGTAGCAAAGGAACGGAACCTAGTACTAAGGGTACTATAGCTTTCGAGAAGCTAGTAATAGCCTATCGATAGGTTAATCTTTATCGATAAGACAGCCTATAATAGATACCTTTTAACGGCAGATTAGGCCTTCGAGGGCGCTTAACTACGCCCTATACTTAATACTTAATATAGTATAGCGCTCTTGCCTTAGGCTCTTACTAAGTTATTAAATCTTCGTGTTTGTCTATACGTTGCGCGAGCGCGTATTCCTATAGAATCTCGTATTCTCGTCGCGATATATCGTCGTTGTTATAGCGCCTAAGCTCTTCGAAGACAATATAATAGTCGCTAGACTCGTATTAGCTATATATAAAGAATGCGGCTTCCTAGATCGCGCTAGGCTTAAACTACTACCTATACTATTTAGACCCTTTATATAGACGCTAGACGCATAGCTAGATAAGTAGGTAGAGTAATATATAAGGTGTATATATCGCTAGTAAGGTTGATATAGAGGTTTAAGTTATTAAAGCGAGGTTAGCGCCTTTACATTACCGCCCTTAGCAACACCCGCTATACTTAATACTAAGTATAGTACTAATCTAATATATAGGTTTACGAAGGCGGAAATACGCTAGTTAGTAATAGTATTAGATATAGAGGGTTGCGAATAGCGGAATAGTAATAAACCTAACCTAGAGCTCGCTCTTAGCCTTATTTTATAGCAAATGTCGTTCCCTTCTCGCTAGTTCGATACTTCTACTAAATTTAGCAAATGCGAGAGTTACTATAGTCTTATATTTAACGACCTCGTTCTATAGATATATTAGCAATTTGCTAGCATTATTGCCTAGTATCTACGACTTAATAGCTACTAGAGACTAAAGATGTTCGCTCTTACTACTTAGAAACGTAGTACTCGAGGGTTTATATAGGGATTTATCGACGGGCATTTCTAAGGCTTCTATAGACCGAAGGAGAAGCAAAGGAGATATTATAGTAGATACTATAGCAAACACAGGTATAAATTCTAGGCAATAGTTACTCTAGACGGTCTAATATTATTACTTGTTAGACTATTTAATAGACGAGACAACGACTAGCGAATGTAGCAACTATTAGGTATTAAGAGGCGTCTCTAACGGATTATAAGAGGCAGGCGTGTTCTATATCTCTATAGCGACCTAGCATACTATAGCAACTTCGGAATAATAGCTCCTTAGAAGTATTATCTTAGACGGTTACACCTAACGCCTTAGTAACAAGCATTTAATAAGAAGTTGTCTAGTATCTAGATAGAGGTTAAGCACTTGTTTAGCTATACTACGAAGTATTAGTCTTATAATGTGTTCTTAAAGCAATTAAGGATAAGACAATAACTAGTTAGAGCCTATTTTATAGTAGTAGTACTACTAACTAACTGCTATATCTGCCTACGTAGATATAATCAAACAAGTAAGCAATTTAGCCTTGTTCCTCCGGATTTGTAGGACTACCTCTAGCGACTCTATCTAGACCTCTCGGACGATAAGAGCGAGAGCTTAGAAGGCTGAAATTTAGTAGTTTCTAAATTATTTAAGCTCGTTGCACTATTGCCGAAGGGGCCCGAGATCTTACGAGAGAGTATTGTAGTACTAGAATAAGATTAATTTACCTATACTACTAACTCCCCTAAATAATACTATTACATGCTCGTTACATACAAACAAATTATACAAGGTTGTTTACCTAATTAGTAGCTATAATAGCATGTAAAAAGTATTTAATTTAAGCAATATTTAGTATTATAATAGGCGCCGTCGCTATGTCTTAAATCTCGCTCGAAGCAACTAGCTCGCTTAACCGAAGAACTCTATTTGCAGGTCTAGAAACTTAGAAGACATCCTTATATTACTTAACTCTCTAGCTTAGAGCGGCGTCGGTATGCCTAGCAATTAAGCTAGATTAATTTATATGCCTTGCCCTAATAAAAACGTCTTTAGGAGGCTATTCGTCTTATCGCTAGTACTTCGGATAGAGGTTATAGTAGTAGTTAGTAACCTAACATCGTTTCTAATACTAGTAACGTCTACCCTAACTTCTTTCTTAAATGCCTCTAGGTTATCCTTAATAGCTAATATATCTTCTTCTATTTCCTACCTTCTACGCTTACTTGCACGGTCTTTATAGCTATTATTGTTGCTATTATCTTCTCTTTCTATGTCCCTCTTTAGCTTAACAGCTAGTACTATAAACAACTCCCCTGCCTGCGATCTTGTATCGTATTCCTACTACTATATATTATTATTTAAAGCTCCGCCGCAATGTTTACCTTAAGCACGCTTAGATTAAATAGAAGACTCTCGTTGTCTACGTATACGAGAAGGCGTAGCGGATCTACGAGAAGAGGGTATTGCTAGCGTTGCTAGAGCGGCAGGTGCGGGTTTAGAAGACATACTTCTTCTAACACTTCTACTTCTATTACTTCTAACTTCTACTAATAGCCTAACATTATTATTACGCAATAGTAGCGGTATAGACTCGAGGTTAGCGATACGGCGGCGCTTACGCTCTATCTCCTTATTAACTACTAGCGGCGGCTCTTTGTATCTAGGCGCGTCTTTATTATTATTTCTACCCTTACTCGTTATACTATTACTAACAACCTTAACTTTATTATTCCTAGCATCTTGCGGCAGCCCTTTATCCTTACTTATTACTAGACTATCTAGCATCTCTTGCTCCTTAATAAAGCGCTAATCGGCCTTAGGCGTGTCTTGCTTCTTAGACTACAAACTAGGTATATTATGCTTATCTTAATAGCTCGTAGTAGCGTCTAATTCTTTGTAGCGCTAAGTAATAATAGCGGCTTCCTTTAACAAGTAGTAAGCCTCTCGAATATTATACTACGTCCTTATTTCCGCTTATATAGAGCCTAGCTCGTCTTCTTCCTTACTAGTACTATTACTATGTTCTTTAACTACGAATTTAGGGAACTACTTAGTCTCGAGAGCCTTTATTAACCTATCGAGCGACATATACTACACGCTAGTATTAATAAAGAATTCCGCTATTACGAGGTCCTACTATCTAGTAGTGCTATACGATAACTTATAGTTGTACGCTATCCTTATTAAAGCAATCTTATTCTTCTTATTTTGTCTACGCTGTTTCTTAGCCGCTACTCGATCGATCGCTACTTCTAAGATATCGACATTTCTACCTATGTCGAATGTCTAAGTACGTAGCAATTCTCGTACTACTTTGTTCCTTCGATCCGTGCAATTCGTACGCCTAATGCTGCCCTTATTCGACTCTAGAATAGACTTAGTCTCCGGCGCTCGAGAGGGCTAAAACGATAGCTCTTATTGCGAGAAGTTAGGTGTTTAAGAAGCTATAGAAATAGCATAGAAATAAGGCACTTCTACGCGTACGGAAGACGCGATTAGGCTTTAGATAAGGTTAGAATAGTAGTCTTATTTAGCAACGCTATACCCTATATATCGACACGCAATAGTTGTAGCGTAGTCGTTACGTATAGCGACCGCGCTATAATAGATAATAGACTAAGCTTAGACTAAGACACTTAACACGTTAGAAGTAGTTAGCAGATTGCCTATAATAGTCGTAGTTAACTACCCTCGAAGCCCTTAACCGCTAGCAAAAGGTAAGGTATAAGTATATTAACCTATATAAGGGTATAGATTACGCCGCTATAGTAGCATAGTTTACTACGGCGCCTATCTACTTCTAGGTTTAATAACAAGGCATATATTAGTCCGATTAGAAGCCTTGTTGTCGCCTTATTATTACATAGTATAGGCCTACAAATAAGGAGTTGTTTGCTAAGCATAACGAGGGTATGCTATGCCTTATCTAGAGCCTATTTCTAGCCTAATATTATCGACCTAATCTACCTCTTCCTACGCGTTACGTGTCGCTATACCTTACTATCGCTAATTCTACGCTCTTTATTATATGTAAGCCTACGTACGCTAAACACCTGCCTGCTAAAGATATTAAGTCGTTGCTTACTAAATTAGAGGTTAAACGCTCGGTACGTGTATATATCGCTTGTAAGGTTAATATAGTACTAAATGTTGTAGTTTAAGAGCCTATTTCTACTAGAAATGTATAACCGAAGGCGCCTATTCTTCTACCCTTCTAGTAGTAAGGGTGTGCGAATAGAGGGCTTCGAATACGACGAATATCGCTATTTCGTATCGAATGTATAGTATTGCAAGAGCCGACTAAAGAAGCTATCTATTAACTTAGAAGGGCGCTTTTATCGACAACTCGGCCTCGAATATCGTGTCTATAAGCGCTATATAGACTATAACCGCGCAGATCGCGTTTCTAAGGGTATTATTATTAGTAAGCAACGTAGGAAGGCGCGGTAGAAGCGTGTCGCGCACATACTACTAGAATACGACTATATAGCGAAATTAGTAATTATTAAGGTCTACGAGAAGCGACCTAATATCGAATTAGGCGAGTATCTCGACAATTGCGTACTAGCGGCTCTACCTACAAATATAATAGTTGTAAGGCTAGTTTACGTACTTCTAAAGCCGCTTAGTTAGTATTACTTATATAGTCTCGAGTTCAT